TGCCTATTCAATGCAAAGAAATAGTCTTATTTTCTCTATATTAGGTGGTTCCACAATATAGAGAAAATAAGACTATTTCTTAACTTAACTTGGGTGGTTATGATAAGTAATCTAATAAATATGCTGTCTTAGAACAGGCCAGTTACTTTATGAAGTAGTTTTATATTATTAAGGAATTTTCTGAATTTTGCTTCCAGAGGATTTTCAAAAAAAAAGCTTGTAATAGTGACATTGTTTTATTTTTCACTTGCCTGCAGCATGCGCGTACGACAATAATATTGGCTTTAGTCTCTAAAGAATACGCTCCCTCAGACGCAAGTGAGAAATCTGATACAGATTCTGAAATGCTTGATGAATGAGCTTCTACTAACTCAAACTATTCTTCACCTGAACCCTCTATCACTTCTTCTCTCGCTTATATAAATATTAGTTTCTCTAATAACGATGAAGACAAACAACCACCACCTAGAAGTCCATCATTACTATCTTTATCTGTGCCGCTTACCCCGATTCTGCAAGATATAGATGAGTCAAATTACAGAAATATACCTTAGTGATCAGCAATTATTTCGCTTCTATCTACCCCCGTTATACTCCTTGTTCTGACTAGAATCAGGAAAAAAGAACAGCCAGTACAGTCTAAACTGAGAAGATGGCTTTAAAAGCATTGAGATATGCCATATATGAAAATTTGTTAGCTGTAAACCGCTGTCCGTTTAGGACCAAAAAGACAGTTTGACAGTGTGATATAAAATTGGTAAGGCTCATGTAAAACGCCCTTCCAGTCCTGTAAAGTACGATTAATTTGAGTCATTTCCTATAGTCTATTCAACTTCCTCTGAGACAAAATGTAAACAAACAAACCAATGTTTCTCAAACTTTTTTATTGATGTTGGTATGTAAATAAAATTTGTTAATGGATAAATTATTGTATGGTAGGTATGCAATACAATAAGTCTATTTCTTTTTCAAATAGCTATTGTAAGAGTCACATAATTTTATTCAGAATCTTCCTCGTCTTCCTCTGAGGAACTAGTCGCACCAACTTCTATCACAAAACGGTCAACCAAATCATCTATGACACAATTAATTTTTTTTTTTAATTTTGTTCCTGTTTTATGACATGGTCAATGCACTTTAGCACAGTTCCTACTATTACCCTTTTTAGAGCATCGATTAAAAAAGATTTTATTTCATTTAACTTAAAACTTAGCAATAACAGAAAACAACAGACTTAACAACTGTAATAAAAAAATAACAAGAATTTAACGAAAGCATTTTGCACGAGTCAACGAATTGATCGAGAGTAAAAATGGCCGGTATAACCCGACCAATTACGAAATTTCACGTTTCTACGTAAAGTATTTGTCTTATCACTAGTCCTTAATTTAGTAGTATTATAATACGTCCAATGTTTGGGAACAGCTTCAATTTTAGGTGTTTTTAATGTCACTTTCTTTTTTCATTAATTCTAAGTGACGGGCAAAAACGAAAGAGATTTCCATACCAAATGATTGTTTTATGTTAGTTGTTAATAATAAGCTCAATAACTTAATTTTTCTTATCAAAAAAATTATTCCTAGTGTTTTAATTCTTAATTTAAAAAATAATAATAAAAATGAAGCTTTTTTTTATTTTATCCCCCATTTATCAATGTTCGCCACAGCGTTCATCTAAATCTACTCGTTATTTGTGATGTCTTTGACAGTGTCCGCTGTGAAGAACACGAATTTTCCCAACAGTGGGCAATGCAGGATTTTTGTTCATATTTTTTTTAAGTTCTTAGCATAACCTTGATTCCTTACATTCATCAAACGCATGTATTTCCAACTTTTATGTCGTTGCCAAATTAAGGGTTAAAGACAAATAGTACTCTCCAGGAACCTCGGGAGTGCCGGTCGTTCTGTTCCACCGTATTGTTACCGACCGCCTAACTCACTCGCCATATTTTATTTTATTTTTATTTTATTTTTTTATTCCTGCCTTATCCCCACTTAGTAGCAGGCCCTGCTTATTCTATTGTTTTTATTTTTCTTTCTGTTAATTTACATTTTCTCGCTATCATTATATCCATAGGATACGATATCTCAGCAATAGTACCTGCACGATACAATGGCATTCTTGGAGGGATGAACCTTTTCTATAATAGCTAATGACCAGGCTAGAAGCGACGCATTATCATTTATTACGTAATCCACTTATGCCTAACCTGCAAGCTAACTATGATATTATTTTTATGACAGACTGTTAGTAATTTTCTTGATACAGGAACTCATATAGCGAATTTCCTTATTGTTAAAACAACATAATTATTTAACAAGGCAAGGTATGACTGGTTTATTTCGATAGAATATCATTGAAACATTGATCACTATTCTGGTTTGTTTACTACAGGGTTTCCCGCAGGTGGCCTTAAACAAAAATTGATTTTGGGGTCTAGCGAAAGCGTTGATTTTATGTACCATAATCATTTTAAGAATGCCATCCCGTGTTATGAGAAACTGTAGACACAACATAAGTACTATCATCTTTTCATAATGTATAGAATTCTTTAACTTTGTTCCTAATCAAATCTAAATCAAAACTATCTAAATTAATTCTTTTCTTTCCCCCTCTTCTCTTTTTACCGGGCGTAGAAAATACACCATCATTTGATGTGCTACACATATGATTCGTCGTACAGTGATACTAGAAACACCTAAAATGCATCAAAATCTATTTAATACATAATCATTTAGTTTCCTTTAAAAAACATCTTTGATATAAGTTAATGTTATAAAAAAATATAAAATGTATCAATACTACTCAGTTCAACTTACCGGTCAAAGCTACGACGCGCTTTAAAATCGAAGATTGTGTTTGATGTTCACCTTCCTCCTCGCGAGTTTTTTGTAGACATTGAAAACAATATTCCTCGCTTGAGATTAAAAGGTATTTTCCACATCTTCTCATAAAATAACGAAATATTTACGACACCAACAAAATTTTAGCAACGAATGACAACCAAGTGACTTAATGATTGACGGGTGACATGAGTGTTGCAATATGAAATTCACATTTTTTAAATGCCATGAGATTCTGGTAGACATATTGTTGTTGTTCTAAAGCCACACGGTTGTTTTATTAATAACCTGAGACACAACTAACTAGCTAAGCAGTATCATGGGAAGATAGAAAATGGTCCTAAGACCTCAAAAAGGTTTGGTCTAATGGGACGCACTAAAATGTTTTTCTAAAATTACCTATACTGTTATAATCCGAGGAATCCGAATTTAAAAACATCGTATATTGTTTGTAGGTAAATCACATCCTCAGTAGCTCGTTGGCATAGTAGATAAGCGCCGCATCCCGCGGTCGTTATTGGTAAACAACTTTCTCAAGGGTAGGTCACGGGATGGGTGACTAAAAATAATTATTACGAGCTTGCTTTGGAAGACACGTTGAGCTGTCAGTCGCGGCAGCGTTTGCAGTCGTTACTACCCACCAACCTGCATTGGGCTAGCGTGTAGGGCCATGACCCATCCTCCCTAATCATCCAAGACGAAGACCTGAGCCCCTCCAGTGGGGACATAAAATGTCTGATGGTGATAATGATCAAACAACATCTGTGATAATGAAAAAACTGTTAATGTTACATAAATTAATGAAAATAAATATCGAAGTTTCATTTTTATAATATGTCTCGGAAAAGCTTTTTGGTTTCATTCAATGTTCTCGGTTGAATATGTTGGTAGGCGAAATGTTTACTATCGTCAACGGAAGGACCATTTAGAGCTTAAGCTGGCAATTTAATAAATAGTTTATATTAATAAAATCTATGAGAAGGTTTATTATTGTTCAATCACGAGTGGTGGTATATATATTAAGGAAAACTACTGTGATGCCAAAACTAGTTATTTGTTTAAAAAATATAAATTATTAATTTTGACTCAATACAAAGAATAGTACTCGACCGCTCTACTAGTGCCCTACCGTGCCAACCCGTGAATGGCGAGACGGCGACAGTATCCTTTATTGCTACATACGCAAAATTACCAATGTATCCCCTACATTATCTTGAAACGAGTGCAATAATGGAAAAGAGCGTCAAAAATATGTATTAATTAATTACATAATTGCGACCTATTACGATTATTGTACAACTCAATATCGCACCTCGGCTGCATAGCATCCGTAAATAAAAGATGAGATAACTTGATAAAAAAGCTAATTAAAATTAAAAGTTTTTTTCACAGTGATAGCCTCTGAATTAGGCAAACCATTTACAATTTATAAATCTAAATGCCTCATCTAATACAATATTTTTTTATATGCCTTATCTCATGTTATAAAGAAATGTAGTTTATCTTTGAGTGTGATGGTCTAGTTGTACTTTTAAAGCTGCTTAAAAAATGTATTCATTTGAATGAAGAGATATTTTTTACAAAAAAAATTTTATTAACTCACATGACCTAATCAGTTGGTTTAGGCATAATAATATAATTTTCTTATTTTTAATAACATGTTATTTTAACTTTATTTGATGATGTTACATTACATAATGGAACTAGTTACGACACTAGTTTAGAGTTAGTCAATAAGCAGCTTTGCAATTAAGAATATCATCACACACTCACGGCCGGTTGCTGAATAGAGAAAGAACAGCATCTCAATTGATTATTCTCAATAACTTCGTTTTTTTTACGTTTCATAGGGCAAAAAGTTCTAGTTTTATTTAATCAGAAACGAAAACCTGTTTAAGAACGTTTAAGTACAGTTTGAATCATGAATAACTTTAAATTTTTAATAAACCGGGTGATAGAGAATTAAACCAATGTTAAAAAGCCATAGAGATTCGATACATTAGCCTTTTTTAATCTTTTGAAATAGGTTTCATTTGATTGAACAATTACCTACGCTGTGACAGCGTTGCGCTCGACGCTGATTTTTTTACAGACTATTTTCTATTCTGGTCGCTGCCTCGAGGATAATATATAACGGACGAGTTTAATTATTAGGCTGATACGCGCGTTGACCACAGTCGGTTAAACATGGTCAGGGTTAATATTACTGCAAAGAAAAATATTTTGGTTATAGAAACTTTTTGAAACACAGAGACTTATTTAAAGACTTTTTAATTATTTCGCTCAGTGTTTTGTGCCAGTTTAAGAGTATTCGACTATTTAAAATTCAAGATGATTTTATCGCTGTGCTGCATTGCTTTTACCCTTTGGGTAATCGCGTTCCGTTATAGAAGGCGGCAGGTTTACAAACTGGCTTCAAAGATACCACCACCGACAAAAGAGATGCCCGTTATTGGAATTGCTCATACGTTTATAGGAGATACTGAAGGTATGTTATATATATAATTACTATACACTAGCTTTCTTATATGCACAAGATTTCGGGGGTGATAAATCGATCTAGCTAGGATTTATTTACTTAAACCAAAAATACGAGTAAGGCTCGGTCATACAGGTACTTAGAAGATGTGTAAGTTATATATTTTAATCGATTTATAAGGTTAGGTCGCAAAAGTAATATTTTTTTAAATAATTCAGTTCCGTTTATAAAATATGCAATATTTACGAAGGTCTTTTCTTTTACGTCATAATTAAACATTAATTTAAATATATTTTTTTAATATTTTCGCCTTTATGTATTTATTTTAATATGTAGTATTAAGAAATGGTTATGTTGAATTAAATCAGCCATGAATCATGAAATAAGAATTATTTAGTAGCAACATATATAAGTATGGTAGTGACTTGCTTAAAAACATCTTTGTCTGCTGTTCCGAGTTAGTAGGCTAAAAAAAGAGGGAAAGAACGTGAATAATGATTAATCTACCACAAAATTATTGCACTGATTATAAATCTGAGTATAAAAGGCAAAGATAAACTATAGAATTTATGAATGCTCAGCTCAAAGTACTGAATGGATCGAGTTGAAATTTGTCACAGTAATAAACGATAAATACATAGTAATTAGGACATAGAATTATGCTGAGAAAGATTTTTAAAAATTCAATACGTTCTCTTTAGGGCGAGATTGTAGGAAATAATCACTTTTCACTTTTTAAACAAAAAAATAAAGGAGAATGGGCGCAGAAGGCGGCTAAAATAACGCAAATTGCACACTATGCTTTTATTTATCAAAAAATATAATATATTCTATATAAATACTATTTAAAAATTATGCTGCGTTTAAAATTAATCGTATAAAAATAATTGCTAAACTGACTAATTCAGACTCATGAGCCTTGGATAAATGTCAACCATGCAACAATAGACTCTATTCTACAAAGTGACATACGATACAATTCCGATTCTATTTTAACTGGAATTGTATCGTATGTCACTTAGTAGAATAGAAAAACCATTAAAAACTGTTGTTTCGATCCGTTTTCGATTCGATTTAAACAAAATTTATTTAGTAGAATTGGCTCCCTGATCGATTATAGAAAATTAAAGGATTAACAAAAAAAAAAGATCATTTATTAAACACACACATACATGCAGTTTTGCAAAAGACATTAATAAATTATTATTAAATTATAGAGTGCATCCGATGTGGTGTCTAAAAGGTGCCAACTCGACATGTGCTGCAGTTAACTGCAGCGTCGCTTTTCAGTTGGCCCTCTTAGGTGGTGTGGTGACGCCCCGCTGGGCCAAACCAAAATAAAAAGAAATTAAAAACCACACACATAATTTCCTAATATACACTTACATATACATAAAAAATATCATACGATCACACATCAATACATCATAAATATATGTATAGCCTTCACAAGGGCGAAATCTTTTTCACAAAAATTTAAATTTCTCCACTTTATTTAAGGGTGTCAACCATGTTATATATGTATAGAGGTGACTGAGTATTATTATGTTATAAGTTTATTTATACAGTATACATAAGGATGTCAGTATTTAAATCATTTAAGTCGATATGTATAACAATGAATTCCAATTCAAACTAATAAAAATTAAAATATTATTTATAAAGAATGCAATAGTAATCGAGTAAAATAATAAAGATAATTAATTCAGAATATGAATAATAATACAATTAACAAAAGCAAAAATTAAAATATTATATATAATAGGAAAACAATAATGATGATTAATTCTGCTATAAATTCCGATTTATAATAGTAAAAACAATAATCCCACACTTAATTAATATACGTATCGAAAAAAATCAATTGTTTAATTACTATCTAAGATAATTACTATCTTCCTTTGGTTTTCTTTTGAGCATGAACAAAGGCAAGTACGCTATTTCATAGTAAATGATAGGAGGCAAATTATTGCAATCGGCCGGGTGGCACATCTTAATATGACTAGTACAGACTGAACCAACGATCGGCCAAGTTAACGTTCGTCACTAATCCCAAAGAATAAGCTTCGTTTATTCGTATAAGCATAAGGATAAGATTAAAATATGCTATGGTTATAAAATATCGTATTTAAATATGCTCAATTATTGTATAATGATGATCAATAAACAAGTACATAAATACGTTTGTTTAATTTTTATTTTTCATTTACGAACGCAATCGCCACCAATCGACTTTGTAATTGTGACGTTTCGTAGTTACTCTTGATTGGGTACTGCGAATCAGGTAATTGGCGAATTGGAAATTTACGGTTAATTCGCAATTATTAATTGCGAATTAACCGTAAATTTCACGGAGGAAGAAACATGCGTGTTTAAGCGGTGTTATACATAAATATAACAAGATTCCATTAGATAAATATCTTAATATCGCTAGTGACATTCGTTATAATATTTTCTTTTCAATGCAGTTGCTCATAAAGCGCTATTTTTATAATCCATTGTAAACACCGAGACTAACGGTAAGTTGCACAAACATCCATTAAGGTTTAATGACGCCTTTAAGCTATAATGAATATCATATTTGTATGGGTAATGTCTCCTTAAACTAATGAGAATTTTAATGGACGTTTGTGCAACTGGCTGTGAGTCTTTAAACACGTGTTAAATAAAAATGTACTGAAATCCTTTACTGCACACGTGCTTAAAAGTACTTTTTTTATTTTTTTGGCGAGCACCAAACAAAATTTAAAAAAAATGATGAAAAGATGTCATACTTTAGAGGCAAAAGTATTTCAAGGAGCCTAGAACGAATATTTTCAAATAAAAATGAATGACACGAAAACATGTTCAAATATCACGTTAAATTTTAACAAATAATTTTTACCTTTAATACATACTTAGTTTTATTAACCTATATATTTCTTTTATTTCCTCACAAAAAGCATTGAAAAATGTTGTAAGAAACTTGAGCGTAAAAGGTTTTAAAACCTTGCTTTCCGCACTCATATCTTAAATAACTATTAGCGGTGAGTATATACTTACCTGCTATAATATAACTACGACTACTTCTTGGTTTCAAGTTATTAATCGACTTGACATGCGAACTTCCTATCGCTACTTTTACCAAATAAAGTATTTTAACTCTGCTAATGGTGGTCAGGTATTATATTAATCAAAGACTATTTTTGATCTGCCCAGACGTTTTTGAGTTTATCCTTTACAATAAAAAATCCAATCTTTCCTTTTTATAAGATAGGTATAAATATGTACTTTTTAGCAATTAAATATCCGTTAATCATCGATTGTTTGAAATATATTAATCATTTTATTGCTCTTATATACGTAGATATTATAAAGACATAACCTCAAAATCTCTGTTAAATATTCAAATAATCTGAAACTCCGGCATAATTTCAAAATGGTTTTTTTCTTACTCATTCTATAAATAATTCTCTATCGTTTACCGTTGGTTTCAACAATGTGCACGGTTACGTCAAAATAACCAAACTGTCATAGTAAAATGCCCATTCTCCTTTCAATAATTGGATCGATAGAAAAAATTGCAAGATGACTCTGAATAGGTTTTTTGGATCCATTTAACGATCTTTCATAGTTTGGTTTGGATTTTTATAAAAAAGCTTTATATACATACATACAGATTTTTTACTTATCGTAAAAAAAATATCTATTACTTTCGCAAAAAGGTGTCAATGATTAGAGTATTAAATAAGAACCGGTACAGAGTGCAAGCGAGCGTTATAATATCTCATGTGCAATGACGTGGCAGAACTGACCTTACATTTATGTGACATACTCGTAATAAACATAAAAGTTAATACTCAAGGGCGATACTATTTTGTTTTTAAAACGAAAAACAAGACAAGTTTATTATTATATTTGTTAAATTTTGCATTCATAATGCTATACTGATATTTATCTTAAATGCTTTGATATTATCATTTTTAGGGTGCCGTAGTAAGCAAGGAACCTTCATAGTTTGGCCGTGTCCGTCTTGCCGTCCGTCCGTCTGCGGGCTAGCTCATAAACTATCGTTACTAGAAAGTTGTGATTTGGCATACACGTTAATTACGCCGAGAAAGTGGTGAAGAGAAAATTTCTTTATCTCCCCGGTATCTCCCCTACATGAAAAATGGGGATGATATATTGTATTTTTTTTTTTCATCATCCCCATACTGTAGGGTATCGTTGGATAGATCTTTGTAAAACATTGGAGTGTGGGAAGGACGTTTTCGATTTAGTTAACCGTTTTTGACTTATTAAGCTTTAAATAAGTCACAAACGTCGTTGCCGTTGATAAAACTTCAAGCGTTACGGCACTAGTACCTATATATATAAAAGTTAAAAGGAAAACTATCACACTCAAATTGACTTTGCAAGTTTACGTGTAATAGTCGATTAATTCCCATTTTCACTAACCTAGAACAAGGCATAACTAAAAATCACGTAATATTAATAGCTTACGCAGATTTGTCGTTTCACCTAACCCGTAACGTAAGATATATAAAGCCTTACTAAGCACTTGCTTAGTTATGCATCGTTTGTCTATTGGCATATTTGACATTGGCGGATTGACACAATTCCGTCAATGTCACGTTAGTGGCCTTTACACGAAAAGAGACAATAACAGAAATATATATTTTGAGGTAATAAAACAAAAAAAAATTGTACGTGGTCTTTTACAAGAGCACCCAAGTCGTATTAAAAGTTCGAAAATTCAAAAAATCTCATTGTTTTTAACTTAATTCTAATATATAAATTCCTTGATTCCAACTAATTGATATATGTCTAATAGGTTAATTCTGTTTTACTTGCCTTTATATCTTAATTTAAATTGTACTTTGTTTGCTTTGTTTTTGAAATTTCTTTAATGATCCACCGTTACACTGTCTCCCAACGGGGTGTGACAAATATATTCTGACTGTCGTATCTTTGTTTTAGGATAACAAAGTCTTACACTCGTATCTGTCTATAGTCGAGAAAAGTAAAATGTCATAGCTTAATCAAATATTTGAATAAAGTAACAATTGTTAATAACTAATAATAATCAGAGAGCCGGCCTACTCTGTTCGTTAATGAACGAAATTTCGAAGAATTTTGAATCGTTCTTACAATTTTGTTAAAATCATATCTGTGAAGATTTTATGTGGATCAGAAGCAGTGCCATGTCCTATAACCGTTGCATCATCAAATGATCGATCAATGTTTTTTTTTAGTCATAAGCGTTTCTTCACTTCATTATAATTCTTCTTCATTTGGTAAAATACCTGCTTGAGTTATGACATATTCGCAAGTAATTACTTCTCTAGACTCTATAGTCGATCACTAATACACGTATCTATGATACGAGTGTTAGTGATTGGATAAAAAATATCAGATACATTTAAGTTTTTTTTTTTTCAGATATAATGAACAAGCTTAAGGATTATAGTTACGCAGCGATGGCACATCAGGGCATGATCAGAGGATGGCTTAATCACATATTATATTTCTGTGAGTATTTTATTATATATTTATAATGTCAGAATTGCCATGTAAAAAATAAGTTTAATTTGTGATTTCTTTTGATAATAGCGTTACTAATGACGCTTATGTAAAGAATGACTATTACCTATAAAACTAAAATAAATCAATAACTAATTTCCCGCAACTTCGCACGAGTAAATTATAGCTTATGCCAACCCCGTATGATGTAGCTCTACCCGTAGGTGAAAGAATTTTTAAAATCGTTTCCGTAGTTCTGAAGCTTAGTCAATGCAAAGAAACAATCAAAACCTACCTCTTTATAAAATTAAGTATATATTGTTGTTCATAGACACATAATTCATCATCTCACTATTATTTTTGTTAACAGTGATTGTAGACCCAGTAGATATTGAAATGGCGTTGAAAACATGTATGGAGAAAGATGATCTGCACAGATTCATCAGAAATATCATTGGCAACGGTGGTATCTTCGCTCCAGGTAAATACCGTTTACTGTTATATTTTTCGTTCTGCAGCGTAATATCAAACTCAATTTATAACTTGTACAAATTAACATGACACTTGAGGACCTGTGTCCTCGAACGAAAAGCCGGAAAACTTCTTTGTTAAAATCATATATCCGTGAATATTATCTGTGCACCAGAGGCAGTGTCAGATCACACCTTCGTAGCATCGTAAATTATCGAAAAATACTTTATTTGAAGACTTATTAACATTTTGAAAATAGAAGGTTAAAGACAGCGCTTATTTTTATTTGGACATTTCGACACATCGACTTAATAGTATGTAGACATCAAAACTTTTTTTTTTTTTAGTATCGGGTCGGTGTACTGCGATATTACATGCGGTCATGGCAAACGGAGAAAGGAGTCTTGCGACTAAACGGAATATTTATTGATTTCTTAAAATTATTTCAAGGTTCATTAGCTTATTTGCTAGTTCAACTAATAAGGGGTTAAACTTTGACATCTATTAAGATCTTTTAGGGTTTGGATAATGTCTCACGCAACTCTTTTTTATCGTTAGAAAATGCATTACTGCATACTCGTTCCCCCAGCACAGGGTGGCCGGGTTATTTGGAGTCTCCCATAAAGGGGGGTATGTAACGGTTTATATTTTATAAAACGTATACATTTATTTTACTATAAAATTTGTTCTCCGAAGATTGACAAACTAATAATTTTCTATATAGATAAACGGCGACGGGCTTGACAACATGTCTTGCTCGCAGCTATTGTTCTCCGCGTCGCAGGCGCAATCCAGTTTTATAAAAGGTACAAAACCTGTGAACGCGCTCCTTGTGACACATTTCAAACGAAGGCAGCGTAACATCAACATGTAGTCCTTCAATATTCTTTCGCGGCCGCTGTAGCCGCGAACGTAAAATTAATGTTTTAATAATTATATTTTTTTATTAACTTTATCGAAGTGATATCGCCGTATTAGGGTTCCTTCCCACCCTTGGGAAGCTTTAAGATGATCATCAATTTCACCTGACATCTGGGTGCTGAAGCGACCCATCTCATGGCCTACACCACTGGACCACTTCGGCCGTACATCTCGCCGGAGCACTACCAGGACAGTGGATGACCGAGACCTAACTATTGCGAACGGTTGACTAGGGCCATATAAAATTGTACCTATATATATATACTGATCCACGTTGCGAGCTTCCCGTCGAACCCTAACACTGAGATCTCAAGTCTCGCTACTTTTTGGGTAGTAAACGTTTATTATAAAAATTATTTGTTTTATTACCCTTATTTTATAAGCGTTACAAGAGCTAGTCAAAAAGCAGAGGCATGCCCACTTTAATCTAAAGATGGCCTTCTTCTTGAAAACTATATGCGGGGATCACTTCCCTCGCCGTTCACACCTATTTCAGTCCACTTCTTGCAGGGTGGGATCCTCTGTAGATTGGGGGTACGATTCAGGAACGTTTGACTCATACCCCAGGACGCGCCATGCCCAGTTACTGCGCAAATCAGCGATCATCATCGAAGGACCGGAGTTAAGAGCGAACCTCGAATATACTATTATGTACTACAAACGGCCAGTCATTGACATTAACAATAAAATGTATAATTGTCCCCAGTAAGCATTTGGCGGAGACGTAGGAAAATATTGGTGCCTGCCTTCAGTCCGAAAATTGTTGAGAGCTTCGTAGATATATTCGCAGAGCAGACAGAAGTGATGACAAACAAACTCAATGAGCAAACTAAAAAGGGCAATTTCAGCGTTTGGCCATTTATTAGCACTTATACACTGGATGCGGTTTCACGTGAGTACCTACTTATTAATTCCTAGCCGCGACTTCACCTGCATGAAAGCCACTGCATAGTGAAGTAAATTCCAGTAGTAACGCCTAACGCCTACATATCCAGTGGAGGCAACGAAGCTCTGTCACTGATAATCGAAATACTTATATTTTCATTTAGCTACCAACCTCCTTACGCTGAACATGAAATACATCTCAAGATTATGAGCCCATAAATACATACTTCAGGGTTCTGAGTTTATTTTACGGAATAAATTCCATTGCGCCAAGAAGGCGCAAACATCCAGTATGTGAGAGAATTTTCATGATCAAACAAACAAAGTTAGAAATTTTACCTCTTTTAATATCAGTGTAGTAAACCAGATGCCGTATTACTAAACTCAATTTTCGATATATCGCGAACTTCATAGTGCTCCGTTCCACTCGTCGCCTTTAAAAATACCATAAGTGAAGTAGAACAACGAAACAGTCCACGATATACTGAAGGTCGATTTTAAGAGTGATGTCTGAAAAATCACGATCTATAAATTTTATATAAAGAACGATATAGGTACAGACGGTCGATTTTAAAAGTCATAAATTAAATCACACTTAAATTACTTTTTAAAAATATGAAAATATTTTCATCTACAATTAGGCGTGAGAACTCATGGCGATGTATACCGTTAGTATAAAAAAGGACACAAATAGCTTTAGGGTTGAATTACATGTGGTAGTACGGTATAGCCATTTTCGGTCGTACTATTCTTTTCTAACGCCCAGGGCCGCCATTTTCCAGATCGAGAAATATAGCGATCGTGAAAAAAAATCTTTTAAAAAATATTTTAAGACAAGACATGAAATAAGCGCCTTTAATTATTATTTTTCTTTTTATTTATACTTGTGCATTTTAACTAGTCTTACCGAATAAAATCCTTTTTTTTTCTCAAAGAAACGGCAATGGGAGTAAGGGTATACGCACAAAGTAACCCTCAATCCCCGTTCTTGTTATCAATGACTCGGGCACTACATTTGGCATGCCAAAGAATATTCCATCTTTGGCTCCAACCTGATTGGATTTACAAGTTCTTTCCACAATATATAGAGCACCAAGCTTGTTTGAAGCAAATGCACGACTTCACTGATGAGGTACAAAAATATTGTATTTTTAATTGTCCTTACTTAGTCAATGTTACTAATAAACAAGCTTTAGTGTCAGAGTAAATTTACGCTAAGATTGTATTTAGTATAAATTAAATTTACATTACCAAAAAGAGACTAATATCAATAGCTGGTACTGATACTGGAGTAATATTTACCACTAGAAGGTGTAATCTCTGTTTATTAATGTGAATTTTGACAAATACTAAGTGTTAAACTTTAGGGTTAATTTACTCCGACGCTAAGCCTTGTTTATTGATAACTTCAAATGTATTTTTGTTAAGATAATAAAATTCAAAATATATTTGTAAACTAATAGTTTGTCTCTTTTAAATTATATAATATCATTTAGGCCTTATTTGATATATACTAGTTGAAATTTCATCATTAAGTTTATTCATTTTTCATTATAATTCAAGGTCATTAGAAAAAAACGCGCTGCATTAAAGATTGAATCACAAAACAAAAGTGAAGCAGACATTGCGTACGGTAAGAAATTTTCAAAACTTGCTTTTTATGAATACGCTTCGAAATAAATTGCTTTCGGTGAATAAGAAAATATTAGTTATTGCCCATGGCGATGATGCTTGTTTTAAATAATTTCCATGTTTAAACTGGATTAGAATGCTTAAACTTTTTTGATTATTTATTGATTCAACATACCTACAGTTCTCTATATTACACATAAACACAATTAAATAATTCATTAACACAAAATGAATACTAGTAATTATTATATTTTTAATAAAATAAATTCTATTGTACCTAATATACCAACTTTACCACCAGATCAATCATTGCTTATTTATATAGATTTGATTGCCTTAATTGTGCCGGTTAGTGACTAAATACAAATTATTGTATGTTTTCAAAGCAGAAAATTTAACTAAAACAATATCTTCAAGTATATGTCCCCACTGTAATAATCTGGATAGATTCACATAGGGAGTTATACTATCATGATGGTACAATGCGAATTTGTGGGTGCTAACTGCTAAGCTCCTACAGATGCAGCCAAGGAGGCTTCACGCACTGAGGATAATTCATAATAATAAACAGATCCAAAATAAAGTTATTTATTGTATTTTACTCATGGGAATCTGAGACCAACAAGGTATCACAGTACCCGTACAATATAGAAGTTTTATATTTTCATTGACTCGACTAGGAATCGAAAATAATAAATTTTGTTTCCTTCCAAATATAACTTTTCCATTCAATGAGCAAAATTAAATTTTAAATTGTAGAAGTCAAGGAACTTTGCTTAAGTTTCTTAACTTCTACAATTGCAGATCAAACGTGCTAACCACATTGATCGGGTATCCTCAAAACAATAATACGATTAATAAAAATATATTTCTTATAATATTCAGTGCGTTTCAGATCTGGATGATTATAAGAAAAAATCTTTTCTCGATCACCTTATTACGCTTTCGAGCAAATCAGACAAAGGTTATACTGATAGGGAGTTGAGGGAGGAAGTGCTGACCCTAACCATAGCTGGAACGGATACGTCTGCTGTTGCTATATGTTACACCTTGAAGATGCTGGCCCAATATCCAGACGTACAACAGAGAGTTTATGAAGAGTAAGTGGTGTTTTTAGAAGCTTCTATTTAATTTCTAGTGTATATCATCAAATCTTGCAACTGAATTATGAAAAGCGGTTAAATATTACCGATTTAGCTAAAATTATGAATATGGTTTATTTTACACGACAGAACATGGTAAACTAAATTACATCGTTTTAAATTCTTTGTGAAAAGATTCTAAGTTCAATATGACCGACTAGTTATTAGAAGGGTGTCAATAAGTGATTGGTATTCTGCCGAATTTTCGTGTTCCGTATTTCAAAATAAAAATAGTAGTACGCACTCACTTCTATCCTCTTCAGTATCATTAACTGGTTTTCGTAAATGTAATGAGGAGTTTTGTGCTATAAATCTTCTTAAAGCCGTTGAGGAAAAAAGTAGATGACTAAAATTAAATCTTGGCGTTAACCAACTCATAACATAAACATATTTAACACGAAAGGTTAAAACAATATCGCCGGTTATGGAATATAATAAACAAATGATTCATAATCTAATACAAACTGTAATTCCCCATGTCAACACTTTTATCACAATAAAAAGCCTAAACCTACTTATATCCCATATCCTCAAGTCAACTCTGTTAAGTGGGTTAGGCATGATTGTAACACAGATATACACAGATCTACTTCCGCATGTGTAATATTATAGTATGTAAAGTTTAAACACATAGGATTGCATGAATATTGATGAAAATACGCTCTGTAGTAACGAAAAGTAACAAGTATTTTAAAAAATTATCAGTCCTGTTGGGTCCTGGGTAGCTCTGTAGTTTGAGCGGTCGCCCGGGTTGCTAATTGTCGTGGGTTCGAGTCCCATCTCATAGTGCCAGGGACAAAGTGGATATTTTTAGCATTTTTCATTAAAAATATTTTTCAGTATGGCACTGTGAATGCTGAATTGATTAAATATAATGATATTAATATATCTAGACATATTAATATCATTGGCTGTGAATGTTACATTCTAGATATAAAAAACTCAAAAAAACAATAAAAGTGCAACAATTTAGTATAGATCATAGTTAAGTGTCGATTAGTCGGTTAATTAAATTTATAGCTTAATAATTATAACGATCTCGTTTTGTTCTGGAATCGTTATTTTGCTTGTTAATAATAAGAAAATGTCTTTTTCAAATACTTAATTATCTTGTCCATTTCGGAAATCGGAAGAAATTAAAACACGTTTCGCAGGTTTATTCTCAGGCTACTGTTGAACATTTTAATTCAGCCATCAGTAATCTGATAATAATAATAAGGAATTAGGAAGTATGGATTGCTGATTAATCCCAACAAAACCCATTTTATTATAATGGGCAGCTCTCGGGTTAGCGCAAAACTTAAGTATGAACAACTTCCACAAATTGGTTTTTGTGGAATTAACTTACAACTCAGTGATCAGGTTAGAAATCTGGACGTACAATTTGTCAAAAACTTGAATTGGAATGTGTAGCTCAAAAAAGCTCGCAAACTTTTTGCCACTGTTGGGTATTTAAGAAGACTCCGCAATATTTTACCCACTGCTACTAAAATTGCGCTCACACATTCTCAAGCTAAAACTAAGTCCATTAATATTAGGTCCTTACATATGAAATTGGTGTTTGGAACAAAAAGTCGAATATTTTTTTAAGTAATATATTTATTTAATCAAAGTATAAACCATTTTCATCTATGCACTTTTGCCACCTTATACATAGGTACTTAATCGATTACTAAAAAAACCAATCGGACGGGAATCAATAACATCTTTGAACGTGATTTGAATATTTTCCCTTGCAAGAAGGTATCCAAATTTGGACAAAAATGATCTGTTAGAGCATGAATAATCTGTTGGAGCAAGGTCCGGGCGGGGAATACGGTGGATGTTTTAGACATTCCTATTGAAGCTCTTCTAATTTGGTAGCTGTCTGTTGTGCAGCGTTGTCGTGAAGTAGCAGTGGCGTTGAGCGATTGACCAACCTCGGTTGTGTAACAGCTAGTTTTTCCAACATGGTTTGCAATTGCTGACAAAAGACGACTGCTGTAATCGTCTGGCCAGATTTGAGAAAACTGTAATGAACGACCGGCACTAGTCCACCAAACGCTTACAAGTAATTTTTTTGCTATCAATTTTCACTCGGGGCAGGATTTGGCTGGCATGCCAGGCTCCAACCATTGCGACAAGCGCTTCCGATTATCGTAGAGAATCCACTTTTCTTTACAGGTAATGATTCGATTTAAAAACCCCTCATTATTGTGCCGGTTAAGTAATGCAACGCAGCAGTAGAAGCACGTTTGCCGGATTGCATCACTCAATTCGTGATGTACCCACCTTTCAAACTTTTTAATCTTTCCAATTTGCTTCAAGTGGATGAAAACAGTTTTATCACTAACACCGCAGCCTGCAGTCTTACTCAGACGTGGTTTGCGATGGATCCGCTTCCACAATAGCCTTCAATTCTTCATTATTAACTTGGGTCTCCGGGCCCGTGGACGGCTCTTTGTTTTGTAGGTCGAAATTTGCCTTACACATCATTAACCCTTCGAGCCGTTTCCGCAGCACTGTTACCACGGTGGAACTCGTACTCCTAAATAACACGATATTTCAAATTTTCAATTTTTTATACTGGGTGACGCAAATAAGACAAACAAAAGAAAAACAAAACAAATGAATGCCGCCTAGCGACACACAAATACATCTGTGAATTTGGAATTCCCAACCAAGAAGGAGAAATTTGTGATTAAAGTGGCCAGTACGACAAAACGCCAATTTCATATGTTAGGACCTCTTTGAGAAAATCGTTAAGCAACACTATCTGTCCATATAACCATGAAATTCGTATTTAAATATGTATAATATTTATGTATGTATTGTTCTTCTTTCTACATAAAAATTAAAATCATCAGTATAACTCCACTACCCCATTATTATTTGCTCATTTTAAATATATCTCCATCTCAAAGTTGCCTGGAAGAGATCACTTTTAGTGATAAGGCCGCCATTTGTACGTCTCCTTTCTACAATTGAAATTGTAAGTGTTATGTGTGTGTACAATAAAGTGAATTATATAATATTTATTAATTTATTTATTTATGCATTAACAAAGTTTCAACAGCAGTTTTGTTATTTTAATACAAAAATAAATATTCAGCATTGACGCCAATTATACAAACTTATTACGTTTAAAAATCATATTAGTTAATTAATCATAATGAGGGCAGTTAACAAAGAAAATGTAAGTATTAGACCAAAATACATATATATAAATTATATCGCATGACATCACAGCATGACATCTAAGGTGTATGTGTGTCTCTCTGTGTGTGTGTGTATGTGCGAGTTTATGTGTATTAATAAAGTATGCATAACTAAAACTTTAATTCATAATTACGTATTGACTCTAAAAACGGGGTAGAGTCGAACGCACGGCGACCGCACATTTTACTGCTACTGCTTGCTTCGTACACTGGAACACAGAGTTAACCACCAGTTACATTTATAGAAAACTAGCTGTGAATTATAAGCTTATGTCACCCGCGAATAAATTAGCTAAGAATTGATGAAAGAATTTTTAAAAACTGTCCCGTTGTTTCGGAGCCTGTGCGATGCAATCAAGCGAATGTTTCCTCTTTATAATATTAAGGTACCTGGGTCGAATATGGTCACCTTAAGGTGTAACTTCCTACATCTTTTTTGTTTTGATGATTAGGAATAGCTTTAATCAATTTTCTGTCATGTATATTAACTATTTATCATATGGCTATAAGAAATACTCCAAGGTATGAATGAGATTGCGGCCAAACAAGTTTTTAAAAAAAATGGCGAATTGACCATATTTCCGACCATGTTGGTTAATATGCCCTTACTATGGGCATATTAACAGTATTAGTTATTATAAATGGTAAAGATAATTTAACAAAAAGAAAACAAAAAACTTTGGATTTATTCTTCTGAGATCTAGGAATTAAATACGTAAAGAAACTTAATGGCATTAAAAGAAGCTTAATACTTAATGGCACTTCCATTTTAACTGTAACATAATATTAACTAAAGTAATCATCTTCTTAATTCAAATAAGAATAAATTTTTCAAATAATAAATTTTAAATAATAAAAAAGAGAACAACATTATCACAATCAGCTATACTTTCCTAATCAACTGAACTTTTATTATTTTTAATTTTCGCATCGGATGCAAATGAATTGTTCTTTATCTTTAGCAGTAAGCCCCACGCATTCCTCGTGGACGTAAGATGCACAATTTATGCATAGTCTCATATCAGCAATTTTATCTTCTTGACATACAAAACAATACCAGGACACATTAGACGGTCTTTCCTTCAAGCCTTTACCCTTCCCTTTTCCCTTCCCTTTTCCCTTCCCTTTTCCCTTCCCTTTTCCCTTCCCTTTTCCTTTTCCTTCTTTATCCATATTCTTGTCTTGGCTTTTGCTTTCAACTGTCACTTTCTGCTTCTTAGCAACTTTATCAAAAATATCTTTAGTTAATACTTGTGCTAGACTGTTAATAGCTTTTTTTCTAGTTACAATTGGATTTGAAATTTTCTGTGGAGTTTTGAACATCATTTTGAATGATACGTTAGCGCCTGATGAAGTTGATGGCATTGGTAATAGAGACTCCACAGTCTTGTTGTTACAATCTTGAGTTGAAGATTTGGTAATCAAAGGATCTGAATCCTCAATTTCCATATACTCCTTAACCGGAGTTAAATATTTAGCAGCTACCAAAGCTGAGTCTTCTAAAGCCATATCCTTAACTGGGGTTGAAGTAGCAGCTAATAGAGCCGAAGCTTCTATAGCCATATCAGAAACCTTGACTGGGGTTAAATCTTTATCAAACATTGGAGGTGATGCCTCAATAGCCACATTTGAATCCTTAGTTGGAGCCTCGAATAAAACGTTATCTACCAAAGATGGACTTGCAGTCTGAATGTTTCTGTCCTTAGATGATAACAAGAGTTGGTCTAAGACAGTTACAATCTCAGAAGAAGATAATTTGGTATCTGTAGTATTTTTATTTGAAGTATCAGATTCTCGAAATCTTGCGGAATCATGAACAGTCTCATCTTCGCGAGACATCTCGGATCGACCTAGGATAAAATTTTTAGTAGCCGTACACTTCCTCATTGGGAATGAAGGGCTTTGTGTATTGTCTTCAGATCCAGATGAGCAAGACGTTGTAGAATCTCTTTTTGTTGAAGAAACAAACGCCGACAGTGGTACATCATCTTCACTGTCGCTGGAAGCATTAGTAGTTGGATCAACAGAGTCTCCCGGAATCGATACACGAGTAGGAATACTTGGCGCGTAAGCTTCTTCAGGAATCTTTGTTGGGTTGAACGGAAAAATTCCAGTAGCCTCGAAACCAGCTTTTATGTTAGCGGGAGTCAAAGCTTTGTCCCAAACTTTTGAAAATATGGGACCGAACCTTTGTTTTGTGATCCTTCTATCTTCGTGATGCGCCCAATACTTCAACACTTCCTCATCCCAGAAATACTCAAATGAGCGAAACACTGACTTGTCCATTGGTTGGAGCTCGTGTGTCGTGTTGCTGGCCAGACAAAAAAAGCTTTATATCAAATTTATCAGCAGCTTCTACGATGGAGTAATCCAAATGACATTTTGCTCCATCAAACACCACGAGACATGGCCCAGGAAGTTTGTACTTAGCTAGATGGTGTATCCATTCAACAAAAGTATCAATATTCATGCTTCCTTTAGGAGTCATTTGCACATTTGTTCCATTTGGTAATGAGTCTTTCCACTCTGGCTTCAGCCGCTTTCCTTTAAATAGGATCATGGGCGGTATAGCTTGACCCAAAGCATTGCCACACGACACTACTGTTACATTCTCTGCATGTTCATGTGCTACTATATGCACTCTCTTTGTACCTTTTTGAGCCAAAACTTGAGGAGATTTATGAAGATTTAACTGACACCCCTTCTCATCAATATTAAAGATTCGTTCAGGGCTATTCAGTAAATTATTGTCTTCTAAGACTTTACGGAGTTTTTCAAAATAATCAGCCACAACTATTTTGTTGAGCTTTTGAGCTCTTGCTGGGTTAAGGTTTTGTGCTTTTCTTCGACTTACGCCTTTATGACGTTTAAGATAACCTCTCAGCCAATCACGGCCAATCATAGCATTGTTGCTCGATAGGGGTATATTGTTCATTTCGCAGTAGGTCTTAACACTAGTCCTTAATACACATGGAGTTATGGGATACCCAACATTGGACAAGCGCACGATCCGAGCCTCGAGGTCATTTTCTTGTTCTTCACTGAGTAATGGTTTTCTTCCTAAGGATGCCTTTTTTATCTTATTATCAGTGAGATATCTCTTGAGCGTACGTCTGGGTATATTAAAATGTTTTGAGGCAGCATAAACTTTCATCACGCCGCGTTTTACCGCCGCTAACGCCTTTATCATGTTGTCTTCAGTCCATCTGCCTCGTATACCTCGGCATTTGTAACGCCCCATCTCCTGAAAACACAAAAACAAGTTAAAAAAAACATATATTTACGTACGGGAAATATGGTCACAATGTGGCCATATTTACCTGCAACACATTTTTTCATAACCTATAAATAACATAAAAAAATATTCAAATAGTTCCAAGTTACACTTACCCATCAATAGAATACTAATCAAATCTTGCAACACGATATAGATGTACTAGTGAATCGTTCTATTTATAACGATTTTGAGCAACTATCGAAATAATTTTTTAGTAACATTCACGCGACCATCTAGCACAGTACGTTTCAGCCAACTGAACGGCGCGCGAGACGCGTGGCTGGCGTGCCATTCAAGGTCATGCATCGGTGGGTGCACGGAGTGAAGTTGTCGACTTTCGCGCGTTGTTAGTTTTTGAAATAACACCTACCGGGCATATTTACCGACTGCGCATATTCGACCCAGGTACCTTAGTATAGAATAAAAGTAGTTGATTTTATTCCGATTGCATTTTGTTTTAGAATCTACGACATTTTCGGGACCTCAGACCGTAAATTGGTAAAGGAAGATCTGCTGCAAATGAAATTTCTCGAAAGGGTAGTAAAGGAGACGCTGAGGCTCTTCCCTCCTGTACCTTTCATCATAAGGAAAATCGAAGAAAATGTTACATTGCGTAAGTACTTCGTTATTATGTGAAATAAGCAATAGGGATTGTCTTAATTATAATTATATTATAATTATAAATTATATAAAAGTCATATAATAGAAAAATATTAACGTATTTTTTTACTCAAATTAACAAGAAATAGCTTAGATAACAGTGTGTGTGCCTGCCTATTACAATAGTAATAATAGCGTAATAGGCTGGTGATAATGACACATGAAATTGCATAAAAGAAAACAAATCATATTAAAAAAAATGACTCGGACCCTTTGAACATAACAGACTAATAATGGATTCACATTGTCATTTTTCATTGCAGCGTCCGGTAAAGTATTGCCAGCGGGTTCTGGCCTGGTAATTTCCATATGGGGCATTCATCGTGATCCAAAGTACTGGGGACCGGACGCCGAGAAGTTCGACCCTGACCGATTCTCGCCGGAGAGACTCAACCTGAAACATGTGTGCAGTTTCATGCCCTTCAGTCAAGGACCCAGAAACTGTCTCGGTAACTCAACCTAATAGCTCCTGTTCGCACAATAATAACTGATTATTTACATTGGCTGATACGATCCATATGTCTATCGTCCCGCATGCAGGCCTCATCTACCAATGTAAATAAGACATTAAACTCTCCCAAATGTATACTATAATTCTTATGTTTAAAACTTCAGTTATATAAGATAATTTCTATCCAGTAACTCGTTTGCGTAGTGCAAAAGCGCCACTGCACGCGATCGTTGTTGTTAAGCAACTTTTACAAGGGTCGGTTACGGAATGGGTGAACAAAAATTATTATCTCGAGCTACTTCTTGCTTCAGTAGGTACATTAAGCTGTTGGTCTCTGCTGTATTTGCAGTTTTTAGTACCCTCCAATCCGCATTTAGCCCACCCTCCTTACCCATTCATAAAAAGGCCTGAGCCCCTTTAGTGGGTACGTAAAAGTGCTGATGATAATGATCCAATAATCATACAGCCATAATTAAATTCACTAGAATATAGACAGTTAAATGACATGGCCTCTGACCCTGCGCGTCAGTAGAGCAGTAGCTCCCAAAATTAATAGGGCTCTGACCATTAAACAAAACTTTTCAAAATAGCACTAGATACTTTTCTTGAATTCATTTTTCTTGGACAAATGAGATCCTAAATAATAATGAGAAACATTTTAAGTAAACTCACAAATGCTATTACTTTAATTGCTTCAGCTAACTCATTTAAATTTAAAAATTTACGTAGTACGGTTCTCATGTACAATATCATGTGTTTTTTCAGTTACTTTTAAATAAATATATTGTTGCAGTGAAATTCCTTATAATTGTAATTATCTTAATTAAATGAACAGCTAAGTCGTACGTCCGCTATTCATATTACACTTGATTGTTGTTATATTCTTGCGTTCGTTAGCAATGAATGCTTTTATAAAAATCTATCGCAAGATATCCCTTTCGAATCGACTTCAAATTAAAAAAAGTGAAAAATAATACTATGTTAAAAGCGGTTAATGTTTTTAAAAAACATTGAAGTCGGACTGAGGTTTTCCGTAGTTGATTAAATACTAACCGCCCAACCTGGAAATTACTACGCGGCAAGCACTAGCTTTTAAATAAAGAAATAATCATCAAATTCGGTTCATCCAGTAAAAAGTGACGAGGTAACAAACAAAAAAAAAATACAGTCGAATTGATAACCTCCTCCTTTTATTTGAAGTCGGTTAAAAAACATAAATACTGCACGCAATAACTTCGGGTTGTTTACAGTATTCTCAGATGTATAATCTAACAACTTATCTATTTAACATTTTTTTTTTTTTAAATATAGTATTCACAATGACGATTTACTTTCGACATATCGTTAAAATTTGTGTGTTATTTATATTTTTCAATTTACCTTTAATGTCTTCAATTTTTTCTTTGTTTTTATCCTATTTATGTCTTTTCTCAATAAAAAGCACGCAATTTTGTTATATTTTATCAAAATAACAATAAATCCAGTCGGCCATTCGATCTCTTTTTCCACTCGATAAAATTCAATTAACGATAACATTACTTTTTACCTCTGAAAGTGTTTTGATTGTTATTAGGTTACAGTCCTTGTACGTTCAACTAGCCCATAGACAAATTTTATAAAGAAATATTACCCCAAACCAAAGTTATGAGCAAAACAACCAGCATGCGTGTACCGTGTTTCATGATAACACGACCGGCACACCACGGGTAGTAGTAATATGTGCGTCTAACGCATCCACCACCACCAGCCCTTTTACGTCCCCACTGCAGGGGCTCAGGCCTTCCTTATGGATGGTTAAGGAGGATGGGCCATGACCCTCCACGCTGGCCCAATGCGGATTGGAGGGTATTAACGACTGCAAATGCAGCCGGGACCAACGGCTTAACGGGCCTTCCGAAGCACGGAGTAGCTCGAGATAATAATTTTTTGATCACCCATCCCGTGACCGACCCTTGCGAAAGTTACTTAACGACTACGATCGCGGGCCGCGGCGCTTATCCACTACGCCACCGAGCTACTCACTACTACTCGAGCGTCTAACGCATGCCTTACACAAATCCAAATATTATCAAATTAACGATAAAAACGTAGCGATCGCAATTACTATCACATGTCAAATAGTTGTAGCATAAGTTCGTTAATATGTTTCAGGTAATGATCAAATTGAAACGAATTGCGATAAGTTTCAAAATTAGACAATTAACCCTCAGGTTTCATTTATTTTCTTTTTGCAGGTTACCAATACGCTTTGATGTCTATCAAGACCGCTCTATCATCGATCGTAAGAAAATTTGTAATAGTTCCTGATCCACAGAATAGTGATGTGCCCAAAATTAGAGTTAAATTAGACGTTATGATGAAAGACGTTGACGGCTACCAGATAGCTTTAGAAAGGAGGATACCACCGTCTACCACCACCGTAATAACAAACTAAAATTACCAACACATTTAATAAGGTGCATAATGTATTTTTATATAAATTCCTACTAAATTATTTTTAGATGTTAGTGCATTAAACAGCGTTTTCGCTCAATCCATGAGAGATTAATTAAAATTATTTGTATTTGAGGACCTAATAGTTCACATGAAGATAACGGTAGCAAATATTTGTTGCATATCTTAATGTTCTTTAGCACTAATCATTCGCTTAACTGTTTTATTTTAAAATTTATTGCAGTCTCTTTCAAATATATAGCAATTGTGACAGAGATTTGTGGAATTATTTAACTCTTAAAGTTGCAATCGCTTTTGGAACCAATGATAGTTTGAATGATTAAGAAACATAATAAAAACTTAGTTAAACCCGTCGAAAGATTGCAATTAGTATTCAACTCTTTCGTATTAGTAGCTTTCAGTGATATTTTCTTAAGATTAACGCTTGTTAATTCCAACTAACGATATGGTTCATTCGAAGTGAAGTTCGTGAATGTCTTTTAAAAGTAAAATTGAAAGGGATTGCGGTAGATTTAAAAATAAAACAAGTCTCATTCGTGTTACAGTAACTTTCATAATAATAGGTTAAGGAGGAGAAAGAATCAATTTTATCTGTCAATGACTTTCCAACACTATTCAAAGCTCTAAACGACATTTTAATGTGTAGTATATTTTTCATTAAATTTAACTTTAACTTCATGTTAGGGTTAAGGTTCAAATAAAATAAAGGTACTCCATTTAAGTGTTTATACCTTAACTGTGTAGTTGTTGTTTTATAAATTTTTGGATGGTCGGTGTGACCAGGGCTTGAAACCGGTTCGGAATAAACCGTTTTAATTTAGATAAAACTTGTTCTCTTATGATGTTACGTTTCGGATCGGAACTAAATGCGAAGTGAAATTCGGATGGATTAAAAACCGGTTAATTCGCTTGTTTCGTAAAAAGCAATGTTCTTACGCTTTTAATGCGAATTATATCATTTTCAAGCGACGACATTTATCACACCTGTGTATGGATGTTATAGATATGAGTATAGGCACTTAAAAACCGCGCTGAAGTTTGTGTAATCATTGTCTGGAGTCATATTTAAACCGGTCAATGAAGAAAACTGTATTTCTAGTGAATCGGTTTAAAAACCTGTTCAAATGAGCTTAACCTTTTATATAAAGTTACGCTTGTACTTGCGTCGAAGTGGTTCAAAAAATAAACCAGTTTCCAAGCCCTGGGTGTGACCAAAAAACTATGTTTCAGTTTCGATTAATTTTCGTAGTTATTAACTTAGAGCATTATTACTCAAGATTACTCAAAACTAAGAAAAGCATAGTTACAATCAATTACAAATTTGAAATTCATTAAAATTCTTATAATGGAAAACAACTACTCGTTACAATTTCATAAGAATTTCTTTACGACTTACGGTTAACATTCAAAAGTGATGATTGAAATATTTTTGTTCCTATTCTGCTAAGTCAAAAATAACCTTAATGTTCTAAAGTAACGAATGAGGACTGTATAAGAACAGATAAGTATTTATTATTATTTATTTGTAACAATTGGTGCCAATTTAATGTAATATTTTGGGAATGGTTTGGTTGAAAGCAAATAAAAGACTGTAAGATAATAAATTTATGTTTGATTTATCACTCCAATATATTGTTACCGACCGCCTAACTATCTCGCCATAATTATATCCATAGGATACGATATCTCAGCGATGTTATGACGATATTTTGTTTCATTTTACTACTTAAACATGTATTACGCCTCGGTAGAGGGCATGGACGGACAACTGGGTGGAGATAAGTTCCCTTGACGGTACTGATAGTACCTGCACGATACAATGCCATTCTTGTAGGGATGAACCTTTTCTATAATAGCTAATAACCAGGCTAGAAGCGACGCTTTATCATTTATTACGTACCCGGAGATATACAGAGAGGATAGCCTACTTTACTGATTATATTACAAACTAATATCTAATACAAGTGGATTATTTCCGTTTGTTTGATCTATTTAGTGTGGCTTAGTATTTTTTTTTTATTACGTATTTCTGAGGACACAGGCGCTGTATGCTGAAATACAGGTATCAACCAAGTACAACAACAGATGATATATTAATAAAAAATATTATAAGAAATGGTATGAAAATTCGTTGTATCGTTTTTATATATACTCAATAAAAATTATTATTATTAAGATTACTAATATCTTCGCGCCTGCTTGCAAAGTAATGCAGCTTTAATTATCAAAAGCTTATTATGCTTCTGCTTCTGCTTAGGAATTGTTGTGTAAAACGTACGATAAGAGACGTCTGCTTGTGAAAAATCGTTTTTCAACGTGAACTCAATAAAAAAGAGTAAAAGTGTCGAGTAAAGCTTTGCGAGTCACGAATAAAAATTAGCGTGCTTTGACAACCCTAGATCAACCCACGCAGAATTGGGATACTTTAATCATATACATGATGTCCACAAAGTTAGATGATATCAAAATGGAGAGTGGGAGGAATACCGTAATAATCGGAGTAAGCCACCTACCTTAAAAATATTTCTTACTTTTTTAACAAACAGAGTTAACCTTCTAGAAACATTAAAAGAAGCCAGAAATAATAAGAACAAAATTGAGGGTCAAGCAATTTAAAAAGTAAAATGTAATAAATGCAAGTCAACGTCCATTGCAGTGCATTTTATGGAGGTTCGATCTTCGCATCCATTTGCAAAGTATACTCTGAATACCGTAACATATGGTACGGCTTCAACAGTATATCTAACTACCAAATGCCTTTTACTACTTGCATCCAGCGTTGATAGAATCTTGCCACCTTGGTTCGAACTATATCTACTGATGAAATAGGATAATTAGTCCTATTAATTTACTGATTTAAATTACAGGGGTCTAGACATACCGTGAACTGACCATTTTTCTTTTCTAGTAAAATTAAAGAAGTCACCCAATCTGTAGACTCAGTGACCTTGGTAATGACATCAATTTTTTTCATCTTCTCGAGTTCTTGTTGAAGTCTATGATATAATGCAAGTGGTACCTTCCTCGGAGCATCAACCGTTGGCTAGACTTTAGGATTTGTACTTATATGACACACCAGGAAAACAACCAAGACCGGTAAAAACAGAATTATTACATTCTATAAGTTTATTTAAATTTATATTTTGTGACTGTAATGAGAAAGTATTTAAAAAAAAACGAAGTTAAACTAACATATTAAAAAACTGAAATTTGAAAAGTTCGAAACTTAGATATCAATACAAATTCAAAAAAGTAGAAATAGAATATGAGTTGTTTACTGAGTTTTGAAAACTAATTTACTTATAACATGAAAGAAAACCGGAAGGATTGTCATGGAGAAATCAAAAATGTACCGTAGCGACATCTAGTTTGATTTCGGGAACTAATGTTTTTTTCAATACTTCTTCATTTCATAGGCTGAGACTGACTTTTTGTGACTTAAAGACATTTTACTTGACTTGAATTTGACTCATTTTGTTTTATTACAAAAGACAATTGATTATTATCACTTTCTGATATTTTCATGCTTTTAGTGTCTTCACAAATAACTCTTTTTTATTAGTCCAATATTTGAGCAAGTGTGTTTACCTACCTAGTAGTAGGTGAATTCACATTTGCAATAAGGAAGTATTTAAAAAATAAAAATTAATGTAACTAGCGATTCTCGGATATTTTTTTTATGATAACCATTCATATTTTCTTTCTGACGTAATAAAAATAAATTGAGTACCGAAAATAATAAATATGAGACCGTTTCGTGTTTCTTATAATTTCCAACTTTCATATTATCGAGGAAGTATTTAAAAAAAGAAAGCACCTCACTGGAGACTTCGTAGCAAAAATAGATTTTTCCAGGAAACGAATGGACCAAAGATTTCCGTTTCTTTTAACTTTACAGCATATTGTATTGGATCTCCACTTGTATACACTGTATTTTGGGTATTTATTAATTGGTATAAGGATGATTTTTACCTTATTGGTAAGTTGACTATCTGACTCTATTTATAAGAAGGTAAAATGTCGGAAAATGTGTTCACAGGTATGAGTTTACTCTCACACTGTTTGACGTTGAATGGCTACTTACAAATGCATTATTGCTTATATTACAAATGTCACAGATTATGTCGCCACAGAGTGGACGACAAAGATTATTAAACAGATTTGCCACGGTCCTCATCCCTAAGACAAATCATAGGAACTAATGGCAAAAAATAAATGAATTTATATTAAAAGAATTTGAACAACAAAATACCTACAACGTTGTAAAAAAAACTAATCTATCACTTATTAGTACTACCGTGGAGTCCAAATTGCGTTTGCTATGATTAGTTGCTACGGAAATCTATTTTTAGAACAAAGGTATGCTATAATTATGTACTCTTGTGGGGGGATAATAATATAATTTGATATAAAGTAAAACTAATTTTCTAGAGCAAGATTTGTAAAAATGGCTTTGCTGATACAGCATCCGGTGAGTCGATATTTAATGGCTCTTCGGCGTGACTATGACATGGGACCGGTATTTCATAAGTTATTAAAAGATAAGCTGGTTTGAGTCGATCAAGTGACACCGTCAAGAGTTTGCCGTTGTAATCGATCTTATAAAACTTTGGATGGCGTGATAAGACTTTAAAGGGGCCTTCATAAGGTTGAATCAATACTTTTCTTGTTTCCTTTCTTAAGAAGACGTATGAACAAGTTATTATGAATAAACATTTTATTGCCTTTGTTGTGATAAGTTGATTCTGAGTCTCCTTGTAAGTTTGACAGTAACTGAGCTAAATTACTTATGTTTTAAGCTCTGTTATTAATAAATCACCTGGTAATCTAAGACTAGTGTCGTATAAAAATTGTGAGGGCCTAGGTCTAATTTGATAGCTGTGCGTAAGCCTAGTAGAATTAACGTTAATTGCTGTATTATCCATATATTTGCCATGATAACTGCGATAGTTCGCTTTTGGATTGTATGCGGTTGTCGGAACGCGTTCGATGCCGAGTCGTTTTAATAATTGTGCGTATAAGTCAGACTCGACCTGACTACCTTGATCTGATGTTATCCGTTTTGGACAACCGAAACGAGCTATTCAGATTTCTATTAAAACTTTAGCAACTGTTTCGACCGTAATATCTTTTGTTGGTATTACTTCAGGCCACCTTGTTACTCTATCTATCATGGTTACGCAATATCTTTAACCATCGAAATATGGCAACGGACCTATAATATTTATATGTACATATTTGAATCGTGACGCACCATCAAATTCGCCTATTGGTGTAAATGTGTGGCGTTGTATATTTGAATTTTATGTATCTTATTCGACTAATTTATCGGAGATCCGTATATCAAACAAGTTATTCTAAATCCAATAGATTTTTAATTATGAAATGTGCCTGTTTAGGGTATCGCGTGTATGTGTACAATTGGTTAGCGCGTTAGATTTGAGATTGTGAAGATTAAGCAATTCCGGCCTTTGCAATAATCGTTTAACCTTCGCAATCGCAGATCAACCGCGTTAACTACTTCAGTATCAAGCAAATCCACCCAGCATTCTTTACTGGGCTCGCTTGTCAATCCCAATGAGGAGGGACGGTGTTAAAGCACAGATATTCATAGTGGATGAAACTACTCAGCATTCCCAAATGGTGGTTTGGGATCGCCACTTAGCGTCCTCAATCGCAGATCAAACGTGCTAACCACTGCACTATCCGGCTTTTCACTTGTTTATATAGGGATATTGCCTTTTTTTTTTGTCAAATTTAATATATTTTGATAATATGGTAAGATTGCGCAACTGAATCGTTTCTCGATATTACTCTCTTCCTGTAGCACATTAACGATCTGCTTATACCCGTTATCTATGGGTATACAGATGACAGCACACAGTTGTAGAGAGATACCTGCCTAACGCCCGGGCCAGTAAAGACCAAATACAGTTTTAAAGAGAGGCCATGGTAGCGCGTATGAGTCACACACTTCAAATAGTCTCCGAATGGGGCGATGCCAACCTTGTGAGATTCAACGCCACCAAAATACAAGCGTATCTGTTCACCGCCAAACGGAGCCCGTTCACCTAGGCTCCTAATCTCCGAAAAGTCTCCTTGGAATGCACCGACCGCCTTCAGTTATTGGGAGTAGAGATATCCTCTAACCTTAACTTTGGGCGGTTTATTGAATCCAAAGCTAAAACGGCAGCAAAAAAGCAAGGTATCCTAGCAAAGGTCCGACGGTACTTCACAACAGAACAGCTTTTTATGTTGTACAAATCGCAGGTTCGTTCGTGTGTGGAATACTGCTGGCACATTTGGTCTGGTGCCGCAAAATGCCACCTTTCGGCATTGGATTCAATGGAGAGGTGTGCGAGGAGGCTTATTGGTGACCCAAAATTGATTTAAACCAATCTGCATAGCCTGCAGCACAGGCGCAGAGTTGCTAGCCTCTCGGTATTCTACAGGATACATTTTGGAGAATGTGCGCTGGAATTGCACGACCTAATTCCCCCCTCCCCGTTCTATAATCGAACGTCTCGACCCACGGCCGGTATCCATCCTTTCGTCGTCAACATCCCTCCGGTAAGAACAGCGCGATTCGTCTCATCATTCATAAATAAGTACCGCTAAGGACTGGAATTAATTGAAAGCGACGGTATTTCCGTCCGATTATAATGTGAATGTCTTCAAATCAAGAGTGAATAGGCTGTTACTAGGTTAATGCGCTATACCACCCAAGGTTCCATCACCACTTACCATCAGGTGGGATCGTAGTCAAGCGTAAACCTATAAAGTATATAAAAAAAACCTAAATTTGAAGATGTGGAGTTTTATGATTTCTACAAAAAATACGTCGAAAAGACCATTTTCTGCAGCTTAGAAAATTCGCAAGAAGATTGATTTGTGCGTTTGGCAGTACTTATAAATTCGAACAGTTCTTTTCACTGATGAAAGGTAATAAATCGAAGTATCGTACAAGGCTGACTGACGATAATTTGGAAAATTGTTTACGTTTTTGTATCAGTGCAATTAATCCAAACATTGATGGATTAGTTTCCCAAGTTCAAGCTCAAATTTATGTTATTATTTTATTATTTTATTTTGTTATTTTAATTAATTGATATAATAATAAAATTGTTTAATTATTTCATGTCTGATATATATCGTAAAAAATTATGAGCACTACAACACTACTTTTAAACGCACCCCGCGAACGTATTTTAACGCACACTACAGTTTGGCCCACAACATTTTAAACCAATATTACTTGATAAGACGGACATAAAAGTTTTTGGAAATATACGCAAACAAAAAAAGCAAATGATTTGCCACGTCAGATGTATTGTGATACTGACTCGACGGATAACGGTATTGACATTGCTAACCTCTTTGCTGGATACTTTGCTTCGATGTACAAGGGACCCTCTACCAATGCATACACTCCTGATTTTCCGGAGGCCAATTTTTGTCTTTCAAATATTGATATCACGGAAAAAGATATTAGGGTAAAGATAAAAGCATTAGATATATCAAAAGGTGCAGGTACTGATGCTATACCAGCTATATTCGTTAAGATTTATTTGGATGTGGTGAAACCGTTAGTAATATTATTCAATAAAATCTTCATGGTTGGGTGCTTTCCGGAGCTTTGGAAGATGACAAGGATTGTTCCAATACATAAGTCCGGCAATAAAGAGGACATTAAAAATTATCGCCCAGTGCGTATATTTTGTTGTTTTAGCAAATTGTTCGAGAGTTTAGTGTTTGATCATCTTTATTATCATTGTAAGACTATAATCTCGGAGAAACAACTATCGCAAAGGCACAAATGACCTACCTATTAGATAGCAGCAATGTATAGATAATAATGGTAACTATTTCGATCAAATAAATTTGTTAAATTTAAAAAAATAAACAATTTTGATTTTCAGTACAAATCAGCAATTTCATACTTTAACCCCTATTACTTTTAAAAAGTGAGAAATAAATTTCAAATATTTTCTTAAATTTTGAAAAAGTGTCTATCTGATAGGTATTGTCTTCGGATTTCCAATGGGCGTTCAGTGCATTCCACTTGCATAGCATTGATAGGAGAAGATTTTTAGCTCCCATAACAATACGGAGACACTTATGCTGAATCTTATCAAGCACTTTTAAGGATGATTTCTAAATGGCTTCGAATTAAAGCATTATACAATAGTTTTTGACAAAAAGATTGGGCTCCACCAAACGCCTGAGAGGGATTGGATAATATTCATATTTTGTTTACACATTTTTTGACCATATGAGCGAATCCTGTCATTTTGGAGTCTTGGACAACTCCAAGGAATTTCACCTGATTTTTCAAATGGATGGGTCGGATTAAATGTTGAATTTGGACATGAGGGATATTCCTATAACGTGTAAAAATAACAATATTACTTTTATCAACCGATAATGAGAGACCATGATTAGTTAACTAGTGTAACGTTGTGTGTGTATGTAGACGTGACTCACATTTATTTTAGTACGGGACCATTACATACGACAACATGCAATTGGTTTTTCTATCAGCGCTCTCAGTATGCGGGGATCCTATGGGGCGGAGCTTAACTTGTTGATATTAATAACCTCTGAGGTGCATTCGTTGTGATGCTATCACAGACAACTAAAATACTTTATT